TGTTTACGCAAATTCGACAATGATGACAGGCTCGCAGAGCACTCTTTAACTTTCGGTGAACACAGTAAACAAGTTAGCTTCACGATTTTTCCCGCTACAGATTTGAACTGGAACATTGTTTCCAAGTGCGGCCATGGATTCGATTCAGATACTGGTTGTGCCGAAGACATCTTGATGAGCTACTAATCCCACTATGAGTGTAACCGCACACGTCAACGAATGAATGGATAAAAGCACGTGTATGCATGCTATTAACATCGCATTTGCATATACTGTAAATAGTCCAGAATGCACTGTAGCGCCGCCGAGGTAGCGCCGTGTGAATTGTGATGATGATTCAAGCACACAAAATGTAACGGCGTTCTTGACGGCAAATGTAACTAGTTATCGTTACGTTTTATTCCTAATTTTTGTAACTAGTTACAGTTACAAGTTACGTTCTGAAAAAAGTAACTAGTTACCGTTACAGTTACTCAAAAAAGTAACGATTACATGTAACTAGTTACTTGTAACGAAGTTACTCACAGCACTGGTATAGTGACTATAACGTATCTAAGATAAATATAAAATATAAATCTTACTTTAAAATTCCATCATAGAAATCGCAATTTGCATGCCTGCAAAAAAGTTAATCCACCTTGGAACGTTTTCTGTGATTGTGGACATTCGTTCTACATCGAAATGCATCCTGACCAACATCAGGTCATCACCAATTGCCCAGTTTGTCAAGCAACAACCTTGGCAAATGCTACCATGGCAAAATGTTGAAGGTCTTGGAAAGACAGCAAATATTAATGCTGTTTGCTCTGGTGACTCGCTTTGAAGAGGACGATTGGTAGAAGAGATAGAGGTTCTAAAGAGAAAGGTGGGGGACTTGGAATTTATGTTAGGAACGATTTGTTGGTAAGAGAAGGTTTGATTTAGAGCAGTCAAATATTGAAAGGCTATGGGTAGAGGTTAATTTCCCTCACTCTCACAGATTTTTGGTTGGTACATTTTATCAACTTCTTGAGTCTTCTTGGTACTATAATGATGCAATTATGGGTCATTTTGAAGATATAGCTAAGAAAAGCTATATCTAATAATAAGGAAGTTATTCTGCTGGGAGATTTTAACTGTAATTTGGCAAAAAGCTTGTTGAATGGTAACGGTTAACCTCGACACTCAGAAGTCTAGGGTTCTGTCAGCTGATCAAGGAGGCTACTAGAATAACTGCCCAGTCCGCCACATTATTAGATCTGATAGTGACAAACTATGAAAATTTATTAGTAAATCTGGAGTACTTAATGGTTGTCTGAGTGACCATGACTTAGTATATTGTATAAAAAAAATGAATTGTAAGTGATCATCTGGACAGACTAAGTCTTTTAGAACTTATGCAAGATACAATAGCTAAGCTTTTTGTAATGACCTACGAGGGATTGATTTGGAGAAGCAAATGAATTCGATTTTGCCAGAAAGATTGAATGTGAATTTAACTGTGATTGATCGAATGTGGTTAAACTTTAAATCTGCATTTATTTCTGTTGTTGGTCGTCACACACCAGTGATAAATAAACGGGTGAGAGGAATTGTTTTTCATGGTTAAATGGGGAGATTAAGAAAATCATGCATGAAAGAGATAAACAAAGCAACATAGCTTGTAAGACTAATTCAACAGCAGATTAGGAAAAATAAGACACTCAGAAACCGGGTCACTGCATTGGTGAAATCAGCAAACGGAAGCTACAATAGGAAGTTAATTGAAGATAATTCTGGAGACCCCAAGTCTTTTTCGAGGGCATTAACTAGATTAATACCAGGGAAAAAGTGCTTCCTAGGAATATTAAAGTAGATAACATGTCGCTGCGTTGTTATTCGAAGATTGCAGGAGAGGGTTTTGGCATGTATTGGAGAAGCAATACTCCAAATGAATTGTTTCATTTTGAGGAGATATTGGAGAATTTTACACTGGGTCAACTTAATAAGTTCAAAAGTAAGAAAGCAGTTGGATTAGATACAAATTCACACATGACTCCTAAAGAACTCAGCTGATATTATTGCAAATCCACTAATGAAAATAACAAATTTTTTGCTGGCTAATGGATGTGTCCCTAGTCAATGGAAAGAGGCAAGAGTTATCCCACTTTTTATATCAGGGAAATCAGATAATATGGATAATTACCGTCCAGCTGTCTACACTCAACTCTACAAGTTTATGGATGATAATAACTTGTTGAGTCTGTATCAGGAGCGGTTTTCGCTAGTGTCACTCGACTGAAACTGTCTGTATAAGTTTTACAGATAGTATTCGACGTGGCATGGATCAGGGTATGCTTTCAGAGTCTATGTTTATTGATCTTCGCAAGGCCTTCGATACGGTTAACCATGATTTACTTTTGGAAAAATTGCATGGTTATGGGGTTACAGGCAGTGAACTGGATAGGTTTAAGGACTACTTATCAAATCGTAAGCAATTAGTTGACTATTTCAATACCTATTCTGATCGACTACCATTAAATTCTGGTGTCCTGCAGGGATCCATATTGGGACCCCTTTTGTTTGTCGTATTCGTAAAACAACTAGCTGATTGCTGTGAACTCTTGCTCAATATTGATGTATGCGGACAACACAGTAATTTTCTACAGTGGAAAAGGTGCGACTGATATCAAGAATGTTGTTTCATCTGATTTGAACGCACTAAATTTCTGGTTGAATATGAATAAACTTTTCTTACATGCGGACAAGTCAGAACATGTTCTTCTTGGCTCTGCAAAGCGGTTGTATAAGATAGAAAATTTTGAGATTTCCATAAATGGGCAGGATTAAGCAGGTGTTTAAAATACAAGTATCTTGATGTTGTTATGGATGACAATTTGTCTTGGAGAGCCATGTACACTATGGTTTGATGAAAGCATCCACGAGAGTTGGAATGTTAAGAAGACTACAGCATGATACATCATTTACAAATTCAAATATGGTCTGGAATTGTTGCAATGCCGGGGATGAAGAGAAGCTTGAGAAAATACAATGTAGAGCAGCAAGGGTAGTGATGAAGGTAAACTGTAGTGATGACATGTTACATGATTTGCGATGGGAAACTCTGAAAAAAAGGATAGAGCAGCATGTTCTTAAATTAGTTAAGAAATGTGTGAAGGGAATTGTTCCTCAATTCTTATGTGACTATTTTAGTTTTAATCATCAATTGACAGTAAGAACTACTCACCAAAGAAATTTATTGCATCTGCCAAGAGTTAGAACAGAAATGGCAAAGAAATCTTTTTACTGTAATGGAGCTAAGGTTTTTAATCGCTTATGTCACAGTCTTCCCTGGATACTTTTAATCTTTCCATGGATTTTAACTTAAATAATATAATATAATCATATCATTGAAGCTAATAGTCTGACAGTAGTGTAGTTTTATAGCATAATTGATAGAATGTAGTATAGAACTTATTGTAGTCCGCCGTGCAAGTGTACTAATTCCGCACAGCTATTTACACCCGGGTGTTTGAAAACACAGCGAAGTGCAAAGTTGTCTTTGACGTTATGCGCGTGCGCAAGTACAAAGCTCGCACTAAAAAAAAATTTTCATTTTACAAAGATGTATTTCGTTGTTTTACAATATATTGTTTGCTTTTAACTGGATATAAGCCTGCAGTTTCATGAATTAGTGGCTGTCAACTGTGAAACAAAGTGTGAAAGGTATGTATAGTTTACGAATCTTGTCGAAGACGAACCAGATGTTTTTTAAAAGTAAATTTAATCATCTTGGCTATGTTTGGGACTTGGGTAAGTATTATAAACATTTCAGTATTAAAATTCCATACTGTACTTCATTTGTGTTTTCGATTTCATTCATATATCTGCGAAATTTTTACGCCATCCTTAACTCAGTAAATAATATGTTTTAGTATGCAAGCTGGTATGTACATGAAGTTGTATAAATGTAGTGATTAATAATGTTGTTTTATATCTGGGGCAATTAATACAGCGTATCATGTTTTTATGTGTGTTGATTTATGGTCGTTTACATAAACAATAACCTAAAGGCTAGCTTCTGCCTATCAAGCAAATATATTTTGCCGTATCTTCGAGCAAACTGTCGGCAAAACGAACGACGTTTCAAAACATTTTACCATTACATTTTACATTAAATTTTAAGCTTATTGAAAGCCACATAACATAAAACTATCGATACATTCCAAAATATGAAAATTAATCATTCTTTAGTTAAAAATTATCTTGTATTATTTTCATGTTACCATAGCAACTACTATATTTTAACATGGAATGGAATACTTCATTATTTGATTTTGATTTCATGTGGAATTTCTGTATTTCATCTGTTAAAAAAGGCGAGGGGTTGCTGCATGCATGTATTCCTAGTTATATAGGGCTCTCGTTCATAACAGACCAGTTGTGGTCTAATGAGACCGCCCTATCAAAATAAAAATTCTATCTATCTATCTTAGACAGTTTAATGTTACAAGCTGGTAACAGGCATTTTGTCATAGTTTAAGCCTTGGTGAACAAAACCATAGAATAAAGATCTATATAGAAGGGCCACTTACGTCGGAAGCTTTGAAGTTTCTGTCCTCGTGCATGTCGCATTATGCATGTTGGCTGCCATTTTTCTAGCCAGTCAATGACATTTTCTGGCCAATAAACACGTTGTACTGGCTGGCTGCTCTGCCTTCCGGCTACTTTGTTTAGTATTCGAAAAACAAAAATTCTGGTCATAGTTCTCTGCTCTAAGCTTTCAAAAGGCTATTTCCCTAATCCAGATCTACTTTCTATTCTCGACACGATGGGATTTTTTTAGTGCATTTCGTAAAACTTTTCCGTCTATTCTTGAAACTTGTTTTGAATAAACTAAGTCGATCAGCGGAAACGAATATTGCCGCTACTTCAAATTATTGTGTTGAAGAATAACTTATGATACACTACTTCAAGTACAGCATAGAATTACCTTGCGCGTCTGCGATCTTAGCACATGGTCTTGTGTACCGAAGTCAATGATGTGTGACAAACGTCGCGGCACCCTATTTTCTTTTGGAATTGTTAAAAAAGTTAAAGGTAGGCAAATTATTCAGTTTACCTGTAAATATAAATTTGTAAGGAAGTCGTTTAGAATAGTTTTCATTTTCAATACTCATGATTTATATTTTAACAAATATGTTTTCAATATTTGTGCTGGTGTTTTTGAGTTACTTTTGGCTTTTACACAGTTTATTCTGTGTTCTTTTTTTACGAAATAAATAAATTGATACTTTTATGTGTTCTATCGTTGCTTGCAACTAAGGATGAACGGTCGCAGATAAAACATTGTCTTTTCTTATGACAAAGTTCAATGTTTTACCGAGAAACTGCAATGTTTGTGATGATCATTTGATGGTTTCAATTCGCTCAGCTAATCAGCTTGGAGTTGGTTGAACGTGATTGTCTGATCTGATTAAAACCTGTCAAGTGCTCTTGACAAACTTTGAAGATTCTCACACGAATGTGCAATGTTTTTATGAGCGACCGTTTATCCTTAGTTGCAAGCGACAGCACTGCTTATTTGCGCTTCGCTATTTTGGTTTCATAGAAACTCTTTTAAGTTTTAAAATTGTCTTATACTGTACTGTCTTAGTAACTTACACTTAAAATAACTATTCACCAGCAAACAAAACCTCAGAACCAGAGGAAAATGTAACTCAAGACGAAACTGAAGAACAGTTACCAAATGCTATTTCCCAGTCGTTATCTTCCCAGATTCCTCTTCAGAAAGAACCTCATGTTATCCACGCTAATCCAGCTGTGCAACCGGTGAAAACCATTAAGTCAAACCCAGTTCCAAAGGACAGAGTGAAGTCGCTCCTAAATTCGTCATTTCGTAGTAAGGAAAGTTTGCATAGCTTCTACTGCTGTGCAGACAAAAACTGCACAAACATAAGTAAAGAAGAAACTGTGCAAATCAAAGCCAAGGACAAGTTTCAACATGCCTGGATTTTCGACGGAAAACTTACCTACTGTGATAAGACTGGTTATCATTGGCTTGTTTATGAGGAAGGGAAAGGAATGTTTTGCATTTTATGTAGAAAGCATGACACCGCGAACCCTCAGAATAAGACCAAAAAGTTCAACATGGATGCCTCGGTAAGATACAAGCGTAAAACAGTTGAGGAACATGCTCGTTCTGCACAGCATATGGCATCAATTGAGACTGAACTTCTTAGTAGAGTTTCAACTTTCCAGAAGGAAATCAACCGGAGAGAACAAGTCAGAGAAGATGTCTATTATAACGCCTTCCTTTCTTTGTATTGGACTGCAAAACAAGAGCTTCCCAAGTTTACACGTCTTCTTCAACTTCTGGAAAAACTTAATCTCCCAGATATCGAATTATTTCAACATCGATCGGCAGGCTCGGTACGTGAAATGTTTCTTCTTCTTGGACAAACAATTAAAGAGAAAATCCTAGAACGGGTAACACAAGCAAACTGCTTTAGTATGCTTTGTGATGAAGTTTCGGACGTGTCCAACAAAGAGCAGCTAGTAAGTTTCGTTCAATTTGTAGACCGTGATTCTGGCAAGGCAGAGATTGACTTTTTAGCAGTGGACGATGTGTTGGAAGACTTCAATTCTGCCAATGCGGAAGGAATTCAAAGCATGATAAAGAAGCAAATGAGCAATTCGAAGCTGGATGTTCACAGCCTGTCGGGGCTTGCAACAGATGGCGCTAGTGTCATGACAGGGAAGAGAAATGGCGTTGCTGCTCTCCTACGTAGAGAGTCCAAATTGCTTCTTAATGTGCATTGTATATGTCACCGTCTTGCTCTTGCATGTGGAGATGCAAATGACCATGTTCAGTACATCCAAACAGTGGAAAAAATTTTGTGCAGCTTTGGTCGTTTTTCAAGAACTCAGCCAGGAAATATATTATTGAGGCAAAGTCAATATCAGTATCTAATGCAGGGAAGAAAGTTATAGCTAAAAAGTTCAAGAAGGCTTGCAGAACACGATGGCTCTCCACAGAAAGAGCGATCAACGGAGTATTCCAGGACTTTGTTCCTCTCACTCAAACCTTGAGAGCGTACAAAGAAGAGAATGATTGTACTGCGATTGGACTACTGAAAGCAGTGGCAAACATCAAGTTTCTTTCCACTGTGTATCTTCTCCATGAAGTTCTTCCTGCTCTTCCTCAGAGAGGAAATATCTCCTTCTCAGCTATCCATCCTGCAGTTTTATACACAACTGACCAACTCGTTGAAATTGCTGCCAAACAAACGCCCTTGGAAAGTCTAAAAAAAGACCTCGAGGACGATGGTAGGCTTGCCAGCACAGAGTCACTACATCCAGCGAGGACTATCTGCGAAACCTAACGACGAAGTATGTTGACTCGTTGACAGAAAATATCGAGAATCGATTCTCGGAGAGTCTTCCCATATTGACCACTTTCGAGATATTTGATCCAATGGGCGTTCCTGCCAGATCCGACGAAGCTTTCAAAGAGTATGGCATTCCTCAAATCAAGATCTTGGCAGATCATTTTTATCAGGAGAAAAAGAAAAAGAAGGAATTGACAGAAGAATTAGAGTGTGAATGGAAAAAATTTAAGTACAACTTACTGAAGCTAAAAGATCAAGTTCCCCGGCATATTCTTGATCCCCCCAAAACAAGAATTTAACCGCCCAGACTCCGACAGAATGGGCACTTCAACACATGTCATCCTCACGATCAACGTACCAGCACTTCATGCCCCTCCTTTTCTACATCGCTGAAGTTTGTTTGTCCCTTCCTGTGTCGAATGCGTGGCCAGAAAGAGGTGCTTCCACCCTCAAACAGTTGAAGACTTGTTTAAGAAACAGCCTCAAGAATGATATGCTCGATTCACTTATGCACGTAGCCATCAATGGACCAGATATCAGTAGTGGTGACTGTGGGTCTTTGATTCAAGATGTAGTAAAGAAGTGGTACGTTAGGAAGCGAAAGAAACTTGCCAAAGGGAAGCCAATGGAAAAATCCCACATCTGATTCAGAGAGTCCTTCTGTTACACAAGCGGACATACAGCAAAGCCAAACTCTAGATAATGATTCAACGGACGAGTATGAAATGTTTAATGAGGAAGGCGATCATCATCAAGCAATCGAGGCCATTATCACAGAGTTAAACCTGACCACAGACTGTGACTTAGATTCTGACGGGCTTCAGGATACAGATTCGGATTCAGAAAGTGATTATTAAGATCGTCGCCTTTCAGTCTTGAAATCAAAAGATTCCGAGGTGGTACCCAATCACCATGAGATTACTATTCTTATAGTAACTTGCAATTCAGTTGAACACACTCCTGATTGACCAATAACAAAAAGCATTTTTATTCATTTATATAAATTTACATTGTATTTATTATTGATGTAAATTTTTGAAACTGTTGACTTAATATTAATTATACAAATCAATACATATTAATAGAAGAGAGAGGCAGAGAGTACATTAAATATTCTATTTCTTTGAGTTCTAATTAACTTGCTATCCGATTGCAGTTTGAAATTTATAGCTTAAGTTAACTGGGACGACTTGTACACTCCTCGAAATCACCCCTCCCGACCCTCCCCATTTCCTTCCTTGACAACCACCCATTTTTCAAAACAGCCGCCTACTTTTTCGACACAGCCGCCTAATCAAAATAATTCTGAAAGCCCTGATCACTTGTGGGATCTTTACAGATTTGAAAAGAGCACAAAAAGTTATTTAACAAGTTCTTCAACCTTTTTTGATTTAGTTCAATAGTTTCTGAGATATAGGCCCCCAAACATGGCAATTTTGACATTTTTTGAAAAAAATCCGTCCTACTAAATTTTGCTTGGGGGCCTGGGACTTGGGAACGCGAGCGTAAACAAACACTATAGATTACATTACAATTTGCTGCTATAACTTACTAAAATGATAATTTTTGCAAGAAAAGTCGGTTTATTTAGCTCAAAATCATCTTCCAGTACTGACAAGAGTTCATATACGATTGCACTAAATATAAAATTGTGGTGAAACACACAAAACGACTTCAAAATCAAATTTGAAAATGAGCCTTCCTAAATGTCGTCAAGCATTGCCGAGCATGAAAGAGTTGGCATACACCTCGGCATACACTGAAGAATATGTTTTGAAAGCTAGAAGAATATAACAGGGATGTAAAGAAATTATTTATAGATAGAACCAGCATAATCGTGTTAGTTCCCGGTACACGGCGGTCGGTTGCTAAGGAATTTTCTCCCGGACGGCTCGCGCAGCAGGTAACTAGTGCTCAGTCTATTAGACACAATATTTTCGCGCGGTTGAAATGCTTGACTTTATATACGAATTTCTTAATGTTTTTGCAGCGTTTCATTCATAATCTTTGCATAGAAGAACAGATATATCCCCTCTCGATAATATTTTAAAATAGCGGATCACATTACATTCACAGAAAATGCGAAATAACCTTTTTAGCAGACCCTACTTTGATCATGTTTGTTCGATTTACAGCGGAATGCAGTTGACAAATTCTTACTCTTAGGGGTCCCCTGAGTAAGACATTTGTCTGATACATATTTCCAGTTTTAACTCCCCCCTGTATTTTCTGCCATCTTGAAGCAATACAACAAGAAAGGCGAAATTTGTGGTTAAATAATATAAATTGGTGTAAATTTCACAGTTAAACTGAATTTCAGAACAAATTTTAAAACAAGAAATGTAATTCGTTGGTTAAGTGAAGCAGATCGATGGCTAGTACCTCACAGGGAAGGTAAGAAAGTGGGCTGTAAACCGCTTATATTTCATGTCTTAATGGCTTCGTTGTTTACGCCATTGTGTTTGCTCGACCCCTGCTGTTCTTTCAAATTTAGTTCGATACAATTGTGCTATAAAAGCAAACGATGCAGCAAGAATAATCGCCACATTGGAAAATGTGATAGCAAGAGAGTACATCGCGAGTTTTGGCAGAAGTCAGTCGTATATCAGATCAAAAGTCAACAACACAAGTTGGCAAGAGACCTCGATAATGCCGAGACAAAGAAGGCGGAAATTCAACTCGCTGAACAACGGCTTGAAGAAAAACAATCTGAAGTTGAAAGTGTTGTGGAAATTGCAGAAGAAAAGCTAGAATCTGCTAGTAAGTATCTCCTAGTTGTTTTCCTGACCTTACCTGAATCGAAATTTTAGAGTTTAGCTGATTTCTGTCATATTGTATTTGGCAGACAACTTTATAGCACACAGAATCACAGATAGATTGATCAACTTTATTTACGCACACTAATCTCATTCAACATTATGCTGATTTCCATGAGAGCACAGACTAGCACAGGCTGTCCATGTGATCTCATCATTCTGGCTAGAATGCAATCGTAGGCTTAAGGTTGGTTTGCAAACCAACCTCAAGTAGAAATTGAACACTATCCTATTTGTGTGTGCTTATTAAAAATGCTGATTTCCATGAGAGCACAGACTAGCACAGGCTGTCCATGTGATCTCATCATTCTGGCTAGAATGCAATCGTAGGCATAAGGTTGGTTTGCAAACCAACCTCAAGTAAAAATTGAACACTATCCTATTTGTGCGTGGTTATTAAAAACAGTCGATAACTAGAGCCGTGTTTAGTACTGTTTACACCACGACCCTATGCCTGGCCTCAGCCTACTGTACATTTAGACTAGATTTTTATAGTGTAAACACACGTCAGCCTGGCCTAGACGAGGAAATCTGGAATAGCAGTTCTGATGGGCCCATATTTCCTGGTCTAGGCCAAAGTGCATTTACACTACAAAAATCTAGTCCAAAGCTGACCCTAGGCCAGGGTTAGGCTTGCAGTGTAAACACGGCTTAAGGGCTAGCTAATATTCTGTTGTGATTTGTTTTAGCATTGTTGTATATTTGAGTTGGTATAAATCCTCTAGGCCTGTTTATATAGAGAATAATACATGGGTGCGCGGAAATACCAGATTTATTTCAAGTGTTGAACATGATATCTCACGAGTGAGCGCAGCGAACGAGTGAAATATCTTGTTGAACACGAGAAATAAATCTGGTATTTCCAAGCACCCATGTATTTTTCTGTATATTATATAAACAATAATAGAATTATAGAACCATACTGGTATTGTTCGATGCCGAATTAATATAAACGAGTATGTTTATGACATTCGGTATATATTTCATAATTTCCAGTCTTAAATCCCTCTGACCGTGTAGCTCAGTTGGTAGAGCGTCGATCTAGTAATTCGAATGTCGTGGGTTCAAAACCCAGCCGCGGCAGACAACATCTTTCTGCTTGCGCTGGGTATGGAATATATAATACCCACTCTAGAATATTTTCATGACTAGTTACCTGGCTAGGCGAGATACTCAGCACAATCTAGTTCTCAGGTATTCAATATACCTGGTATAAATAGTTTACCTGGTGGACTGTGTACATTGTACATTGTACAACTGAATAACTCGCGTTGCCAAGAACTCTACACAAAGTAGCCTAGATCCCGGCATCACTAGTTACATGAAAACATGACTGCCATGTAACTCAGCAAGGCGATTAAAATTTTTTGTCAACAGCATATATGTGCATTTTACTTTCCTAGAGTGTTAAACTAAGCCATGCAAATGTTGCTTTTGTCCCATCTAGCTAAGTAACTTGCTTAGCAGGTTAGTTCGGCTCCATAGAACTACATGTAAGCCCTATATTAATTAGTCTTATTATGTACAGAGTCTGATTTGGATAAGTCCATGGAGGAAAGAGAAAAAGCAACCCAACAGCTGACTAAAGAGAAGCAAAAGTTGAACGTAGTCACAAAGGAGTATGAAAAGCTTAAAACCTTCCTTCTCCCAACACAACAATCTCGGACACGAAGGGAAAACACAAGTACCACTCTGGATATGATTACTAATGGTAACTCTTCTACTCGATTTCGGAGACGAGAAGAAACAAAGAGTGTCCTTCGATATATTCATGGTGGAGAAGATGGAGCCACATTTGGTGCCTGGGACTTTGTGTCTGCAAATGCCACAAAAGCCACAATGGAAGACCTAATTGGTAAATATAGGCGAGGAAGGTATATTGAAGGTATTATTAAACAAACTGTACAGGAATTTACACAATCAAATAACTCTCTATCAGAAGCTATAAGTTTAAAGTATAAAAACTTTTTATCACGTAGAAAATTTAATATAATTTGTAAAACTCAGTCTTCTGTGTTTGACACTGACAAAGATGCATGGGTGCCAAGAAATGTCAAGTGTTTGGGTGTTGACGTTCAACTCTCACTTTCTCGTGTATCTAATGAAAGTATTGATAAATTTGTCAAAACCCTAGATATCGGTTGTGTTTGTCAGATTCCTGATGTACCAGGTGTCACTAGAACAATTACTGGTCTTGTACTGATGGTGATAGATCTCCACTTGAGACTTCCATACCTTTGTCGACAGCTTGTCTGGTTCAATGGAAACACTAACCATTTTCTGTTTCAATTCTCGGATGATGGGGCTCCTGAAACTAGTCAGCTTTCTATGTCCATTGGTAGCTTGACATTTTGGAACTTAGGTGAAAGAGTTAGAAGTAGAGAGTACCAGTATCTTTTGCATTGTGTGAGCTTAGGCGAAAAACATGAAGTCCTTGAGTCTCTTTGGCAACAGCATACTGACGAGATGGTGTTGTTAGAATCAAGTGTGTTCACTGTGTGTGGTAGAGAGTACACGGTTGAGTTTCAGCCTAGTGCCGATATGAGTTGGCAGAATTGGGCCTGCAATGAGGTGAATAATGCAGCAACATATCCTTCTCCCTATGCTAACGTTCACAAGGGTGACATGTGCAAAATGGGTGGAAGCATTGGCCATGGCAGTGCTGATCTGTGGAAACCTTATACTTCTACAGATCGTGAAAAGCACTTAGAAATGGTAGAATCTTACCTTTCAACCCTGCCAAAAAAATTAAGTTATCCAGTCGTTCATAGTAAGAAACTTGCATTTATGGCTGAGAATGGCATACGTCAGTTGGGAAAACCGAGAATCGGGATGTTTGCTGATCGGGTAAAACCTGATCCACTGCACTGTGAAATAAATGCTTGGCAGCATATCTTAGATTTGCTTTATAGTGAGTCGGTTCGTAGGCATGCTTTTGAAAAATTTATTGCAATACTCTCTGCTCCCATTGGCATAAGCACAGCAAATTCCCCCGATGGCAAATCTTCATCTGCAAGCCATTCTTCTGATAATTCTGGCGTAGAAGCTGTAAATGAGGACGAAATTGTATCTATTGAAAAAACTGGTATTATGGGTGCAAGTTGTGAGGGAGGGAGAAGGTGAAAGCAAAAAGTCAAGCCTTTCACCAGGTATGATAAGGCAATTTTCTCTCTTGGAAATGAATAAAGAAGTTGCAGCAGAAAATATGACATCTACCGGGTGGCCCAAAAAAAAGTACTCCTGTTTGATTCGTAATAACTTCTAAACAAGTAAAGTTTTTAAAGAGAAATAACTTGCATTAAATAGAGGAAGGACTAACTTAGATTTTGATATATTACAGTTGTATTTAACTTAAAAATTCACGGAGATATTAATGTTAAAAATGGGGAGCATATTTTGGAATGTGTCTAAAATTAGCGAAAATAGGCATATCAAATATTAACTCCAGCGTTTGTTTGCTTAATGACATATTAGGCTAACTTGTATTTCAGCGAATTATCGTTAAGGTTTGTAAGGGATATGGCGTAGATTTAGACATCTTACATGTAAGTCTTAGCTCATTGTTTCCTGAAATATGAACGTTCAAAATTATGCAAGTATTTAATATTAGGTCTTTGCAAACTTAAATGTACATGAAAGACTGACCATGGAAGGCAGGCGCTTAAATTTTTCGTATTCTTAAATAGCCTATTTTTTTTATGTTTTTAATGGGTTCAAACACACTGAGTAGATTATTTCTCGGTTAGAGCAGGATGAATATTCTTTATTGAAGGAAATAATATTGCTTTTTGCAAATACACATCACCGTATCAACGCTACTATTTTGTTACGTTTTGTTCCAAAAATGTTGCATGTCTCTGGGGAGTTGCTTAATTGTTATGTCTTATGGAGTTGTATGGTTTGATTGTGTTTCATATAATTCTCAGTTTACTCCATGAACTTGCCAAGATTTAGAAACGGCAAAAGAGTTTGGGTGTTCTTAACAAGATTTCAGAACGTTGCAGAAGTTAGAAGAGCTTCACAATTCCGTTGTGACAGCATGCCCTAATTCAGAACTACGAACGATCCAATGACGATCCTTAGCGATGCAGTGGTCTCATGAAATAAGGAAACGTATTCGTGCTAGGAACACACGCGAATTTCGGACGAATGAATCTTGCTTGTATTTTGTAGATATAATAATACTTTGTTTCATAATAAACAATTTGTCAAGTGTCATTTATTTACTGGTAATAGTGCATGTTTCAGTCGGGCAACACATCCAGAAATATCCTCCCGAATTTAAAGATTAATATCTCCGTGAATTTTTAAGTGAAATACAACTGTAATATATCAAAGTCTAAGTTAGTCCTTCCTCTATTTGATGCAAGTTATTTCTCTTTAAAAGCTATACTTGTTTAGATGTTATTACGAATCAAACAGGAGTACTTTTTTTTGGGCCACCCGGTATGTTAGAAAATTCACAATTTACCCTTTCTAGTACAAATTCTGGTGTGCATGGATGTGGTCTTTCATATCTGTCAACTAAAGTGAAAGAGCACTATGATGATGAGGCTAAACGTTTTAATAAGCTTAGTGTTAGGCTTATTGGGGCACAAGCCATTGCTCTTGCAAGACATTGCTACAGGCTTGTGGATGCTCTGCAAACACCAAGTGAAAGTCAGGGTGAGAAATTAAGAAGGCTAGCACTTGGAAAAATAGTAGAGTATTTACGAAATGCTGGAGGGTTGTACAATAAGATTTTTGTGAGCAATCCTGGGGAGATCTCTCAATTGGAGGAATTCTGCCAACTCTATTTTAGTCTGCTTGCATTATTCTTTCCAAATAGTGTAAATGTCACTGTTTGGACAATAGCCTATGCTTTGCCTTATCATGCAAAGCAGTTATATGAAAATTATGGAATTGGGTTTGGAATACTCTCCTTACAAGCAAAAGAGTCCAAACATGCTGGTCTTAAAGCTGAACTTTTGATGACAAATCGGTCACGAAATAGCGCTAGCGACGGCAAAGGAAAGTGGTGGCAATTAATGCGGGCTAATTACATCAGGTCTTTCTATTTGCCAGAGCATCAACCTTCGCCTCCCTCTTATACATCACATTTTAAGTCCCGCAAACCTCCTCATTGCGAATTTCCAAGGTTTTGTGGTTGTGGGAGGGGAAAAGCTGATGAGGAGCACACACAATGTAAGGTGTGTAGTGAGAGTTATCTTGTTGTAAGCTGTGCACAACAACAAAAGCTTTGGCCTGAAGTTGTTGCTATATTCAAACCATGTGTTTGTATTTCATGTGATGAGCGGTTTGCCGACAAAGCAGGGTTGAAAGTTCATCAAGAATCTTTCCATCGCACTACATCAGCCACTGCAGTAAATCCAAAGCAGTCTTTGAGATCTTTGTCTGTTGACAATCTTAAAAGGCTTTTAAGGGAAAAAGTTCTTTCTACCTCTGGCAAGAAGGAAATTTTGTTGAGACGCTTGGAAGGTGCAACCTCAGGGGAATCATGATTTAAATCATTTCTTTGTTACTCCGTATAGTTAGATAGCCATACAATATCTGTTCTCCCAACTTGATCGAGTCTCTTGTCATTTTTCAAAGGTATTGTCTTTCAGTTGAGTTCTTAGGAGTGGTGTTTGCATAGTGTTGCAAAATGTTTTTCTATAGTTAATGTTTTTATATAAATATTTTTGTTATAAATAATAAATAGCTTTACTGTAACTTGTATGAAAATCACAATTTTAGGACGTGATGGTCAAGTTTAAAATATTAGAATATTAATTCTCACATCCAGAGTAGTCCTATTTCAGTACCACCAAGAATTGGCACAAATTGACAAAAAGGTTTCATTTTCATTCAGTTTCAATTTCATAGATTTGGAATAAAAACCTTTAGCTTTTTCAAAATATTCTAATTTTTGAGCTGCACAAACAATTGTATAATTATAAGTGAATCCTGAATGTGATAACAATTAGCAGGCAAAGAAATTCTACAGATTCCTTTTGTTTACTGCTACAAGTGCATATTACCGAGCACAATTTACTGAATCACAGCTGATCAGATAAATATTAAAGATATTTCATCACAAGGTGCATGTAAAAAACGTTTTCCAGTGTCTATTGTGCCAAGTTGTACACTTGTTTTAATCTGATGATAGTAAGTTGATTTGTTATTAAACAACTTTGATCTGTAATTTATGTAGCTCAAAATCAATATTTTATGCTGGGGTCGGTTCTTCGAAAGTCGATCAGCTTTAACCAGAGGCGTGAAATAACAGGCGTGTATAAAGACACAAACCATGAAACCAAACCAGCGATTTAAATTTTAACATGGTTTAGTGCTAAGCCACCATTGAACAACCGGCCCCAGGACTATGGTTAGATGTAACGTTTATAATTATTCATATTACCATTAAATTTTAAATCAACTACTATATACCTGTAAATGCACATATCAATGGTGGAAACAATTTGTAAATAAGAGAGTAAATCAATTATATTCATTTTTCCTACAATTGTACACAGCTATCTTATTATCAATAAACAGAGCTATCTTATTATCTATTGCCTTTTTGTATGAATAACTAATAATTTATACAGCACATATTTGCTAGCCTGCACACAGACTATATACTGTAATGACATATATAGTCTGCACGCAGGCTGTAGATTTGCTGCAAATATAACAACTTTCAAACTTTGCAACCCCCAAACAGTATTCAAATATATAAAGATTTACAATTTATGCCAGCATGTTGTTGTCCTGTTCTATTTTTAATACCACCCAATTCTACTATTATGATTTCACATCCAATACAGCCACCTACATAGCTATTGGTACTGATAAATGCCTATGGCTTGTGCAAGTGAAATTAAAATCTAGTTAAACAGTATGTTTCGTACACAAATATATTTCCTTTGATCCCCAACCTTCATAATATCCTAAGCCGGACATATATGCATTTCCGATTAGGCTTATACTAAGCCCTAATTATATAATCGGAAATGCATATATGTGTGCGAAACATATGGTTATAACCCGAAATCTGAACCTCTTCCTCAATGAAATATACTTGCATATTAAGTATTGGTTGACAGTTCTGAAATATTTTTATACAGAAAAATGTCAAATGATATGGCTTACTCATTGCCACAAATCTATTTAGGTATGGTGAGAAATTTATGTTTTACCCATGAAAGCACATTCCACTCTGGATTTCCCTATTTTGTTATTCAACTTGGTCTAATGCCAGATGATCTTACTTGTTTGATCTTACTTGTTTGATATTATACTTTAATCCATTAAGTGCCTGCACTCTCCCCTTGACGAGTAAAATCATCTGGCATTAGACAGAGTAAAACAATATCTGGCATTAGACAGGGCAAAATAATAAAGCATATGGGCAGATAGGCCAGTTAACGCACTTAACCCCATTGACATGGAGTTATTTACATCAGATAAACATTGCACTACCAGGTTATAACAGAGTGTGACAACATGGGCAAAACCATAGACTGATAATTGTCAGGTAATTGCAAAAAGTATCAGCCTGCGGTCAACAAATACTTTCGGCACATATTATATTACACAAACACAGTCACAAAAAGTAAAAAATATCATGATTAACCCAGGATTGCTATCCTGCAATCATTTTAATATTATATGGCTTACCGGTTTGTCACAAGCGCTTAATTAAACTTGCTATGGAATTTAACCGAGAACAATATTTATACCTCTATTAATATGTCTGCACAATCCATTAGGCAGTATAAAATTAGTCCAACTGTGCAGATATGGAATGCAAATATAAAATATATATAAAAAATTCTATGATATAATTTGCCAGTTAGTCTTTGTTCATAAGGGCTTGAAGCCGCAAGTCCAAACAGAAATCAGCCTTGTCATAGCGTTGAACATAAAATGTTAAAGTTAGCTTTTCTTGCTTCATGTTGTAATCAAATATTACGGGTGTTGATTTCCCAACAACAACAGATGCTCTTCCCGAGTATTGTAGTATAGTGTGACTGTTCACTCTCACCTTGTCGAATAGCCTTTTCTTTAGATAATTCTGGCCACCAAATCTCACAGGTGAGAAAACTTTTGAAGCCGCTTCGAAAGACTCGATATTTACAGCCAGTGTCGTCTTGCTGCTTTTCATTGAGCCGCCATAGCCAACAGCAACATTGCACAAGTGTCGAAACATTGCGTAAGGCACAAAGAGCTTAACAGGCGGCATAAGACCAGTATTTCTTGATCTCCCAAGCTTTGCGTACATAGATTTCCCCAACTCACGAAAATAGCTATCGATAAGCGGCCCAGTCAGCTCCAACTTGTTCGAAGCTCTCTCCTCAAGGATGGCATCTAGACCACGCATACCATAATTTGGTTTAGTTTCGCACTTCCAAACTGCATCCATCCAAAGACGCTCCTCTGAAAATTTCATTGCCACAGCCGAACGATTCCAAAACCGATCAGATCTTTCCGTATCATCACCGGATGATCCGAGTTGAAGGCAAGAAAGTGCAGCTAAAAGATGCTCAGAGACCGCCATATTTTAAATAATTTGCGAGGGAAAACCTAGCCTAATGGGGAATACCGCATGAATATCTGAGCCTGTGCTTCCGGGAGAAAACTACTTAGCAACCGACCACCGTGATACGTTTTAAACACCATAAGGAAGGCATAACGTGACAAGCCAACTGCATGCTAACGTTAACGTGAGCATAAACTGAACTGATTTGAGTATTAGATAGCATATGTCATAACTTTTAATAAACTAAAATAAACATGATAATTTTTCCAATTGACTAAGGCCAATGAAAATTGATATCATGTTTCTCGTCCCCGCCCGCATGGGATTTATGTGCTGCACGAAAATTTTTCATTATTCATTATTTTTGAAAAATAGGCTTAAAAAACACCAAATTCATCACCAGATCAAAGTCTTATTGCTGTATTCCGCAAGCACAACTCAAATTGTATCTTACTAAAGATATTACTTGCCAGAATGCCTCTATTTTTCATGTCAGCCCAGGTATGTAAAGAAATATACTGTAGTCTGTAGACTGTAGTGTAGGACATATTAAATTAAAATGAATTATGCACCAATTTTTAATACTTCAGATTTTTATGGGGTTTTTTACTGGTTCAAGGAAATTATTGACAAGCAGAATTCAAATACAAAAAAATAATGAAAAATGAAAAAATCCTGCTCCAAATTTTTGAAAATTGTGGACGAGAAACATGATATCAATTTTCATTGGCTAATGCTATAGAATTCTATGAATTTACAGCAGCTGTAATGTCATAGACTATCCATACAGTCCTCGCAATTTTGATAAATCTACGGCGGCAAAAAATTGCCGCCGATATTTCGAAGTTCGGCGGCAATTTTTTGTCATTATAAATTCACACTTTGACAGAGAACAGAATTATTTTATGTTTAGTATTCTCTTGACTGTACTAAATTAAAAGTGTTTGATATTCAAGGAAACCTTGTTTCACACACAATAACATTGAGACCAGCTATCAATCTTTTAGTTTTAACTTTGTTACACTACGTCTATGGACCGTTTGTTCTAAAGTTGTATGTGTTTGAACTTGAAGTTACATGAAGTGTATCAGAACTTTCGATGTATTTTAAATCTAATCATATGTGCATACTCAGAAGAACTAATCAAATTGAGAAGGCAGTGAAGCATCATCAGTGACACAAAAATTCGTCGACGGCAAAAAATTGCCGCTGATAATTTAATCTTTGGTGGCATTATCGGCGGCAATTGCCTTTTGCCGCCGACAATTGCGAGGACTAGATAGATAGATAGATAGATCATTTTAATAGAATTGCCTTGCAACCAGTAGGTTGAATTACACAATTTTACAATAATTATAGCTAGGTGTATAAAACATTACTCAACTGCATGCATAATTTACAAATTTAAAGAAGTTAAAAATTTCAGTGTAAATTAGAATACGATTAATTGCTAAGCTTAAAAATGTTGGCAGGGATAAAAGTGTTTTTATAGCGATCAGTTCGACATTTAGGTAAAGTAAATGTATTTTTCTTTCGAAAGTTATAGCAGGATCGTTTTTTGTTCGGCAACAGACAATTCAGTTGGTGATCTTGGTCTTTTATACTGTTGGTGAATAGTTTGGGTACAAGCTTTTCTAGAGCGTTTTCATAGGTGGTTGCGGGATAAATAATGGACTTACACCTAATTTGTACCCTTTCCAGGCGCAGATGGAGATAGTCAGGAAGGCTATCGTGGAAAACTGCACAGATAGCCTTCCTGACTATCTGAGGACTGTCCATAGGACTTCCTATCGATAATCAATGATAACATAATGGATCAATTTTTCTTCTTATCCTTCAAACTATATTTTTAAAACGTTTTCTTACCTTTAAAGTTAATATCCAAATATAAACAATTGGTGAAATCAACAAGTTGTTAATTTCAATGCAACACTCCGAAAAGACGTATGTTTTCGTAGTTAATTGAACTTTACAAATATATAAACATCTGTATTCATGGCAATACAAATTCCATGTGCCATGAATTAAAAGCAGTCACATATTAATAATATCATACCTGTTTCGAAACTTTTTAAATTTTTGGAATAATGCCAATGACGTACGGTATTAAACTCATACATGCGTCTCGTTGCTTCAGCAGGATTCCAACTGCGGTTGAATTTAAACTAAACAACGTTTAAATCTCTCATTCTCACTTAAGTAAACTTTCTTGAGATGACTTTTACAATCCTCAATTTCTTGTTGTAGTTTGGTGCACTTGTTAACTTGTCTCAGGCATGAACGGCACAAATATTTATCGCATGGCACTTCCTCTTTAGCGATACACAAAATATCACAAACATTTTCCAGCAATTCCCATGTTCTCCCACGATTTTCGTGCGATATTTTACATTTTCAACTTCAGTAGAACAAAACATCCAGGAACAAAACATCCAGGAACAGATACTAATTTACATGGTGTAGTTTTTAAGTTCTCGGATGTCATTCAATCAATTTATCGCATTCTTTTTCCAACCTGGCAAGCATTTCTGGCTATTTTAATAATGACTTGTATCATTACACTCACCATAAATATTCTATAATTTATGCAGAATATCGCATTTTGGAATTAGTAATAACACATGATCAGACACGCACTGCATGCGCCCAGCTGTTCCCTCCAAGAGAGCCCCCAAGAGGGAACGGCTGGAACAGAGCCTAATACATCCTGCGATAATATTTTGAAGCTACTTTTATTAGTTTTCTATTTATAGATATTACAATTCTGTTTGATTGACACTTTTACAGTGATTGTCCCGTTTAATTATTCCATTATTGTCTGAAATAGCCTTGTCTCAAAAACCTAAAGAAAAATAATACAAGGTTGAATTTGAATTTGCTCTCAATTTTGCAAAAACAGCTATTAGTAACCAGTTCTTGATGTATATAACTTCTATGAGTACTTATAATGTAGAATAATGAAAAAAATTTATCTAACTCAAATTTTGTGAACCAGGGGGGGGGGTGTCTTTTCCAACAAACTAAAAATGGCTTGCACAGAAAATCCATGCTTGACAAAAATGCATGCCAAAGTGCCAATATTCGATATGTACGTGTCAGCGGTTATTCAAATAAAAGTATCCAAAACCGCATAGTTACATGAAGTATATAGCCACTTTTTTTCAAAATGGCAGGGTGAACAAAATTCACCAGGGACGATGTAATTGACCAGGTTTTGAACGAAGGTCGTCCAAATAAGAGGAAACGCGAGGACAGGGATAAGGTGAAGGCCCTCTTTTGGCCGCTGAATCGGAGCTGGACTCCAATTTATTTGTATCAGCTGGCCTGAATGTGTTGATGCCACTCTATGCCGTATGCAAGAGTCAACATTGCGCTGCCGATATTTTGGCAAGATCGAATGTGAGCACCCTCGCGATCTTCCAAAGTGAAGCAAGGTTATGGCTTACAAGTATTAATCGGCGTCTGGGTGGGAGACGGAGGATAAGAAATCCCTTCATTGGCGAGATTTCTCGAGATATACTCTTCGAGTTGTTTTCTGTAGTAGTCAAATTGGTAAAAGCAACACCTACATATTGCAAGCCTTTTTGCTACGACAGTAATAACAAGAAGGGGGAAGTTATCTCTTTCACTTCGCTACGATTGGTGGTGGAGTTACTTTCATTGCTATCAGGCTATACAGAAGAAGAAGTAGTCAAGTATTTTAAAAGGAATCTTACAGCCGGGTCTCGAAGAGGACGTAATATTTCTGTCATCTGCTCAGATGTTAAGGATTTTGCCTTTGTCTATAAGCACAGGTGAGGTAAACTTGTTATTTCATTTAATTTTGGTGAATAGAACTACTTTCTGGCTTTCCACAACACATATAAAACTGTATTTTATTTAGGCTGTAAGATTCATTTTTAGTGCAGAGTTTCTTTGAAACTGTGCACTATTGTGATGAGTGGCGAAAATTTACATCTGTCATACATCAGATATCATAGAGTAAACTTTCCGGGGGGTGTATACGATTTATCGTCGTGGTGATTTATTCTACTTAGTCAGTGCTTTGAAGGTTATTTAGGCAATTTCAGTTGTCTTATTTAAATACTTATTTTGTCCTTTTGCCAAGTTCACAAAAATTTCCAGGAATTGTTGTTATTGCAAATTTTTGTCAATTTTATAACATTTGCTTCTCCGTGTTGTGTGAAAGATCTTTCCCCCGGAACGCCCATTTTTTCTTTAGCAGCGCAAATGCGCATGTGCTATCAAGCTGTAGATCACGATGGCGTGACGAATGACGATGCTAGGAAGGAGCGACACTGCCGAACAGTGTTGTTTTCAAATTATAAACATTTTTATAGACGTGAATATCGAGTAAATCTTTGAGAATCTACGCAATATATAAATTGATGTTATGACTTATGCATTATGGGCATTCAATTAAATACCAATATTATTTTGACGGTATATTCAATTTCAATATACAAAGCTAGGAAGCAGCGAGACAGTGTTGTTTTGTCTTTTGAAATGTATGAACATTTCAGGCATGAATATTGAGAAAATCTTTGAGATTCTACGCAATATATAAATTGATGTTTTGCATTACGGGCATTCAATTAAGTGCCGACGGTATATTCATTATACAAAGCTAGGAAGCAGCGAGACCGTGTTTTCAAATGTATAAACATTTCAGACATAAATATTGAGAAAATCTTTGTTTACGTGTATAGCACAACGGTGCAAACTCGTGTTCAGTGCAACGAAAACTCTACCAGATCTTACGGGAATCTATCTGTATCAAAGCTTGTCAAACTGCTATATAAACACTGCAATAACTGTGAAACTATTG